AATAGCTAACCCATCATCTCTTTTGGATCTGGTTACTTTCTTCAATCCCACCAGATGAAGTTCGTGATCACTACTCCCCTTTCAAATAAAACTCCTTGCCTTCTTATCTAGGAAGTCTAAAATTTTTTGAGGAAGTCAATGTATTTGCATATGAGAAGATGGAATAACTGATAAGATTGCATTCACCAATGACACTCTACCAAGTTTGTCAAGTGTTCTCCTTTTCCAGGAAGCCAACTTAGTGTTTATAACTCTGTGTATAATACAAGCATACTATCAATTATAATAATTAGTTTTTAAATTATAATAATCAGTTTTTATTTGTCAGCTTTTGCATATCTGTTTTCCCTTTATTTAGGCTAATTGTTAGTGCTAAATTGGTGGAGTTTGTTCCCCTGATTCTTTCCAATTTACGTTATCAATTTGTATATTTATACTACTGTAACCCAATGACAAAATTGAATCAAAATTAATTCCAAACATTTTCCTATATGGTATCAGCCTAATACACGATCCTCTTCTTCTTTTTTTTTTCCAACACAGGACGCCGCTCCTTTCTTTCTTTTGCCTCCCATGGCCAACGAAAACTCTTCATCTATTAGCAACCCTCATGAGCCATCAAAACCCTTCATTTGCATCATCCTCAGCAGTGTCACCAAGCTTCTTCCCTCTAATTACCTCATCTGGAAACTTCAAGTTGAAGCTTTCCTCGATGGCTATGATCTTCTCAAATATCCAGATGGATCCTTTCCTGCGCCGACGACGACGATCTCCACCACCCTTGAACCTCCGGTGACAACTCCAAATCCTGCTTACCAAACCTGGCGTCGACAGGACCGTCTTATATACGGTGCTCTCCTCACCACACTCTCTCCTGAAGTGGCATCCCTGGTGTCTCAAACAAAGACATCACATGATCTGTGGACTCTTCTACAGCACACCTATACCAAGGCATCCCGCAGCCACCTCAAGCAGTTAAAGGAGCGTCTCCACACGGCATCCAAAGGTACCCAATCCATCACCACCTACATGCATTCTCTGAAGCAAACTGCAGATCTCCTTGCCTCCCTTGGCTCTCCTGTCTCCGTTGAAGACATGACTGACCATGTCTTGCGTGGTCTCGACGACGGCTACAGAGCTGTCATTGACAGCGTCAATGCAAGGGACACTGCCATTCTTTTTTATGACCTCCTCGAGAAGCTTCTCATTCAAGAACTCTCCCTTGTTGCTGCTCAACGGCAGGTTCCTGCTCCCATGACAGCCTTGAATGCACAGGCATGACCCAACCATTCCGACAAAACTCGATCTGGGCAATTCTCTGCATCCTCCACTTCACGCCCTGGCAATCGCAAACCGTTTCTTGGTCGCTGTCAGTGGTGCAATGTCAAGGGTCATGTTCTGTCTCAGTGTCACACCTTCAAGCAGCAGCACCCTGGTGTCCCGCCACCTCCTCGTTACTCTTCTGCTAACCCTGGATAGGTTCAGGTCCATACTGCATCTGCTGGCACCTCTCAATCTAATTTTCTGGTTGACAGTGGAGCGACGCATCACGTCACCAATGATCTTGCCAATCTAGCGCTGCATCATCCGTACACGGGTCCAGA